TGATTTATGAAAGAAAATGTGACGAGCACTGCTATTTATACTGATTTTCTGTGACTGTATTTTATTGTTAGAGTGTAGCCAATTACAAATAAGAAGGAATAATTTATAATTGGCCATTTATACCTACAAGGGATCGTAAGATGCGATCACTAAGACGCAGTTACGTTGATCTTCATCACAGTACGCGTAGTTTCTTATAGAATCTCCACTACGATCAATGCGCCATAGTTACGCGTAACTGCGACGCAAAATTGGCGCTGCGCATAACTGCGGCACAGTTGATAAAAAAGAGACGACATGGGTAGTTTTTAAAATTTCGTAGTTCAAGCAAGTCTATAATTGATCAGGAGCTGTTTAGATCGTCAGATTTTCGTGATAGGAATTCTTAGCCGCGAAATGTTGTGAGGGTACCATTGGATAATGTGAATAGTGTTAGATGTGTCGTATGGTTATGTGAGATCTTAGTACGAATAAGCTACAGGCATCGTGCGGCGGAATCGATTCTTAATTTGGCAATGGCTAGCCGCTCACCTGCACTAAGACGTTGAAAGCTGTTTTAAAAGCCTTTAGTTTATTCTCGATATGTCAAGTTTTATTGTTGGATGAAGAATTTATTCAAACTTAGCTTCTAGAATTCTAGATTAGCGCATCTACGAACGGACGCAAACTGGATATGTACTTGGGAATCTGGCTTCATTCTTCTCTAAATTGTGAGGAATTTATCGTGTATGTAGATGAAACTGGATTAAATTGGTCCCACAGCTGTTGTTTTCGGGCTTCTTAAAAGTTCTCTTTGCTTTCATCGAATAATTATAGAATGAGGCGTAACTTTCAATCAATCATGCAGTGCTTAAAAGGATCAGGTTCACCGCATATTTGGAATAAAACTAGTGGAGGCGGCTAGTCGTGAGTGGTGTTCCAGAGGGGCGCCGACGAACGAATAGCCGCTCAGTTAAAAATCTGTTGTGATTATAAGACTACAGGCCTTGGAGACTTATAGAATAGGTATACGTAGTCTCGATCAGAAAAGTTGAAACAATTTTCGAAAATGGAAAATATCTTGAAGTTCTTCCGAAGAAAGGTCATGAAATAAATGCTGAACTCGTGTGAAATATTTGAAATTGATATTTGTCGTGATTATCTTAGTAACTTTAGTTTTTCTGATTGGGAGTGGATTTGATTCAAAATATGTAAATGTTACACTTATCTACCCGTGAGCACGCACGAGGAAATGAATATATCCATGTTAGACGGAAAACACACCGAAGCAAAATGAACCCAGATGGATTCGAGCAAAAATGAGGGCAAAGCTAACCGAAATCGAGTTAGAAAAGTCAGTTTGATATTTGATCTGTGATTTACTCGTGCAGATTCATGGTAAATATCTAGTTCATAGGCCAATTTGAGTTGTAACTTTACTAAAATGATGTATTTCAATTATAGCTCTCCTGAATGGATCTTTTTCTTCACTCTGTTATCAAGCTGATCGAAAGTTTTTGGAACCATAACTTGAACTGTAGCAGATCGGATGCACTTAACTTTACTATCGCTATATAGTATTAGTAGCTAAGTAGTAATTAAATGCCGTTTTTTTGGTGATACTGCCAAACAAGTTTTCTATTTATGCTCGGTTATCAACCGCGTTTTCCATAAAAATCATTTCGAAGCTATAAAATGTAGAGTATCTCAGCTAGATAGTTTTGGATAGCTACGTTCTACATGACTAAATCCTTTCAGTGGAGGGTTGGCGACGCTAACGTCGCGTTACCTTGTTTTATTCTTATCGAATACATATTGAATTCATAAGATGGTGGAAATACAGAAGAAAAACAGCATTGGTCTCTTGAACATTTACTATATCATGCATTTAAAACAAAGCTTGTTCCATCGAAATATATAAAATGAGCATTCGTTAAATTAACTAAAGTGCAAATAATTATATAAAATACTTGAAAGATATTAATACATTGCTTTATTGTGATCTAAGAAAAAAACATGCGAAAGAAATTTAGAATGTTTTAAACTGATATTTTAATGTATAGCTAAATAATATTGTATTAAATATTATTTTATCGTTAGCAATGTTTTTTTCTCTTTAAGATTTCAAGTGGTAGATACTACCAGTTTCGAAAGAATGACAAGTTTTCGGTAACTTACATATGATGGAAATCATGAAAATCATTCTATTGTAATAAGATTTTTTTTGTTTCAACGATAGAATCAAGATTGATTCATCATAAAAATAGTTCGTCTCTTAGCCATCATCCAAATCTCTTCTTTGATTTAATGAACAAAATCAAAAATCGTCTGTTTAATTTAAATATTGAACAGTTAAAGAAACAATTAATAACGCCAAACTTATGCTTTATTCATATACAATCAAATTTTATTAGAAATAGCAAACGAATAGTTTCATAGTGTCGTACATTCATATAATATTTCAAATATAAATCATCGATTGTTAAGAAAAATTTCATTTAATTTAATTAGAATATGACAGTTCTCAGTTCGATAATGATCAAGAAAAAAGATACCTAAAATTAGAACTTTGTCAGAAAATTTTGAATTACTAGAAGTCGAACTGAGTTGAAATAAAAATGATGTTTGGTAGAAATGATAAAATTTCGAATTTATCTTCTGAAAAATCAACTTTTTGTTGAAATGAAGAGCTGATAATATCCTAGTGATGGACCTAAATTAAAACAACATTGATGGCATAGATGTATTTGATATGGGACGAGGAGTGTTTTGAGCATCGAAAAAGGAGTGAGATGAGCGCCAAAGTTATCGACATGTGAAATGAGCACCAAAAAAGCATACAAATGAGCACTGCTTTTCTCTATGTGTGAAATGAGCATCAAAAAAGGTACAAATGAGTACCAAATTGATTATATGTGAAGTAATAACAACAAAAGATTTATTTAGGAAGAATGTAACATGACAGTTAAACAATAAATATAATGAGTAAGAAATAAATAAGTATAATTACATGATGAAACAATACATTCAAAATTCTAGAGCAGATTTTACTTTTTTTGATCTACTTTTACCTCGTCGTTGACCTAGAAGTTCCGAACGTGTTTTGTCTTTAATTTTATATATGTTAAATATCATCGCTAAACCAAATGAATGTTTACATATATATAATTTCATACCATTTGGACAAGTACATGAATGAAGTGGTGAAACTAAATAATATGATTTTAACCAAATGATAAAGTCATTAAATGTCTGCCATTGCTGCATTTGATACATCTGAAGCCACATTGCTGGTGCTATTGTTGGATTTGATGATGGAACTATATACCAATTACCAAACCAATGTAAAATATCAATTTGATTAATTGTGTTCGACCATTTAAATGCTGTTAATTCTAATTCAGTTGATATGGACGGCTTGGCAATAAAACCATTCGAGGATGATTTGATGGACCAAGCATGCAACATTTTTCAATTTTTGGTAAAAATGATGATAGATGAAGTTTGTTTCTTAATGTATATTGTTCCTTAATTTTCCCATTTAAAGACTCGCATCCATTATTTGTAGAAGGTATATTACATGCAGCACCTTCATACCTGAAATGATAAATCATGTGAATCTATCAATAAATTAATACAAGAAAATTGCTTACCACACAGGTATTTTCTTAATCCATTCATTGAAAAAATATTTTTGAAATTGTTTCATTAATGGATAATTATCCCATTCCAATTTTAATAATGATACAGCACAATTAAATATATTATCTGAAAAACATAATTGTAAGTTATGGATATCACTATCTACTTCATTCCACTTATCTGCTGGTACTAATTTTCTATGTTCACGGATTTTGCTGACAGTGTGTGCCCAGCACATAAGACGTTTTGCTTGTGGAAACACTTCTTGTTGAGCTTTGGTGATACCTAAATGTAAATTATAATAATTAATAACAAATATGCTTTAGATTAAGACCTGGTGCGCCATCAGCTATAATATAATTAACAATATATTGACGATTAAAATATTTAGCTGATATATTTTGAAGTTGAATAAATAATTCTTTAAAACAACTTGCATGTTCGTCACTGGACACCAAAGCGATTCCAAACGGGCTAAAAATGCGGATCAGCATCAGATGAACCAAATACTAATAAAGGTAAGTTGTTCCATGTATGTTTATACGTGGCATCCACTTGTAATAAAGCTGTAAATTGTATTTGTTGAATTAATTGTTTCGTAGTAAAGAATACAAAAATATCATCAATATTTTTAATCGAATGATAATAAGGTACAAATGTTGAATATAATAAATTATCATCATAATTATGATTCATGCACCATCGATTAAAATCATATACTGAGAATATTTCAGGATTATCTCGTCGTCGAGTATAATTTATTAAATTTGTCAATTGATTAATTGGTAATGGAATATTAGGATAATCAATAGATAACGCATTTTTAATTTGACCTTGGGTGAGTTGACATTTAATATATTTATTATCTGATTCTCGAATAGGAGAATGTAAACGACCAGTAACATTGCGCTGTTCGTGGCAATGTGCATTTTTGTACATTAATTTAATCATAGTAAATTCATTGTCTGGAACATAAATTTGTACTTCATATCGGCGTAATGTATACTTCCGATAATAACGGCATCTGTATGAGTATTTTGTACCATCACGTAAATCTGACGTACGATATTTTGACACATCAAGCTGTTGTACTAAAGCATTAGCTTCGTCGAGCGTTTTAGCAGTATTCAAAACCTTATATTCTTCTCTTGACATGTTTGCACTATTTCTGAGAAATTTTTCTATTTTATCATTATTATTTCGTATGCACATATATAGATAACATTATTGTTCTGATCTCATTATCGATAACAATCACTATATTAATTAATATGAATTGAACTCATCACAACTCATCGACTATATGCATGCATATCACAATCTCAATTGATTTAAGATGTAATTATTTGATCATCTTTATATCATTTTTGAATTTGGTGCTCATTTGTATGTTTTTTTAGTGGTCCTTTCACACATAGAGAAAAGCAGTGCTCATTTGTATGTTTTTTCGGTGCTCATTTCACTCCTTTTTCAGTGCTCAAAACACATTTTTTCCAACTTTTAAAATTTTTGTCGCAAGATATAAATACTCTTTTCGTGTTTGGACAATTAATATTAATTGTTCAATCTAACATCGGTTCATCGGTAGGATCAAATACCCGCTTATAGTTAAATTTTGATAATTCTTCTATAGGCATTAGCGAAGTTATCAATTGCATTATTGGAATTGTCAGAGATTTACAATCTTCTACGTCTAGAATAAAAAAAGTATATAAAAACAATTAATTCATTCTATTCTTTGTTTCAGATATGCAGTATGTAAAAGAACTATTCGGGTACTCCCATCGTTTTTCACTGTTACAGTCGTACTTCCTATCGAACTATTTTGAATTGAATATTATTTGTTAGAGAATATATTTCTCTATACGTTAACGTATACAAAAATTGAAAAAAGATGTTAAAATCATTTCCAAAGATTCTGAATATCTTAAGCATCGCTTTCTCTTTCAAATGATGTGTATTGAATTAAATTAGAGTGACTAGCCCAAATTACATCACGATATTCAAATCTTTAAGAAAACACGAATATGAGACGTTCCCTTGATCTTTTAGAGATAATTTTTGATTCCGGAATAGCACAAACATTTCTCTACCGACTCATATACTTTTTATCAAATAACAATAAGATATGAGTAAGCACTGACCGTAACAAACGGACCTACTCTTTTTTTGTCCTGTTTTGCTCTGTTCCTAATCACATCACTCCAGTAAAAACGCACAGAATCCTCGAAAAAACGTGATTTCAGTTTGAAAAACTTCTTGCTTTTGATGGAATTTGTGATCATTGAATTTAGTACATTGAACTCTATCAACTGATGGTTTTTTATTTCTTTGTCAATGTAGTCTTCACTCTTTTTTTTTGAAAAAGTTCATTTTTCTCGTGATGTGATAATATCGCGCCACTTAATTCCATCACTTCAGCTATTCTTCTTCCTTTGCTTCATCACTCAATGGAAAATACATGGGAATCTACATAAGATCAGAAAAAAACATGTTGGCGCTAGTCGAAATAGAGAATTTCAAAATGATGTTGCTAGAAGATATGAAGTGTACCTGACAACTAATGTATACCTACAGACGACAAAAGATTTCGACCGGCTGTTATCTATATTTACTCTTGTCAAAAAAAAATATTGCATTTCGCATGATTGCCACTTATAAATTTAGTAGTTATTCCGTTGAGTCGTAATAATAGTAATGAATTATTATCGGGGGATGTGGAAAAAAATATTGAACAAACAGCAGAATCACATTTTCTAATTATGTTACATACAAGTTAATTAGTAGATTCAATGANCCCCCCCCCCCCCCCCCCCCCCCCCCCCCACCCCCCCCCCCCCCCCCCCCCCCCCCCCCCCCAGGATAAATAAAGGAGATGTATAGGTTACCTATGAATTAACAGTTTAAAAATTAATCAGTACGATAGTAATAATTTAGGCTTAATGTGTTAATTAGAAGTGAGAGGGAAAAGTAGATTATTTGACGAGAGAATAGATAAAGTATAAAACATAAGAAACATTATTGTTAGAGTAGAACAGAACGGAACGGAACGGAACAGAAACATAAGAGTAAGTAACATTTATAAAAGAGCAGAAAACATAATAACAAGTAACATTCAGATAGAAAAGATATGCATATATAATAGTAGTGAGATGGTGTAGGGTTTTGCTACTTGGCGCCATCTATTACTAGATTCGTTTTAGTTATCATAATTAAATGAACACTGGTATTAGAATGATTAAGGTGGAAATAAGAAGTATTTATAAATAAACATGTTTAAATATAATGTTGACGTTCTAAAATATTCATGTTGCTTCCTGTGAAAATACAAAAATATATTCATTCTCTCTTTGCATTGGGCATCATTTTTTGAAAGTTTCGTTTTTCAAAGTGTCAAAAAAATACATGGTTCAAGCCTTCACCGATGATGTAGCAGTGATCTCAACTAAAAGCTGCTTCGGATCGAAAGTAGTAAGAATAAGTTAACATCAAGGTAAACCTTCGAAACAGAATCGCGTAAATAAGAAGAAAGTCGACTTAAGTTATGCTGTAGTTCATGCTCGTACTCATTCTCTCTAATCTATTATTCATGTGACCGACAGTATCCTAAATAATGATGATAATTCAACGTTTGACTACTGCTTTCACTATTTTATTGTGTTCCGTTTTTTTAATATTTATTTTAGTTACTCTATATTTTTTTATCCGTATTTATTCAGAATAAAAAGTATTACTACTGTAAAAACGAGATTTTGATAGCTACATTTGTTTCACTGATAGAATTTCCTAGATACATTTTAGCAACATTATAGAGGAAATTTAATAAACGATACTATAAACCCTTCTGTTTTCTAGACATACATACTCGTTTTCAAGTGTACTCCATATTTCCTAGCAACATCATTTTGAAATTCTCTATTTCGACTAGCGCCAACATGTTTTTTTCTGATCTTATGTAGATTCCCATGTATTTTTCATTGAGTGATGAAGCAAAGGAAGAAGAATAGCTGAAGTGATGGAATTAAGTGGCGCGATATTATCACATCACGAGAAAAATGAACTTTTTCAAAAAAAAAGAGTGAAGACTACATTGAAAAAAGAAATAAAAAACCATCAGTTGATAGAGTTCAATGTACTAAATTCAATGATCACAAATTCTATCAAAAACAGAACAGAAAGAGAAAAAAATGAAAGTAGCTCTTTTTTTACGATTACTGCTCTCTTGTGTTCAATCACTGTTTCGTAAAAAGCATATGAGTCGATAGAGAAATGTTTGATCTATTCCGCAAACTAAAAACTTTCTCAAAATAAGTAACAGACGCAGAGATATTATCACTTTACTTTGATTTTTCGAAAATGGTGATGCAATTTGGATCAATCACTCTAACTCAATTCAATATACATCATTTGAAAGAGAAAGCGATGCTTCAGATATTGAGAATCTTTGGAAATGATTTTAACACCTCTTTCGATTTTTGTATACGTTAACGTATAGAGAAATATATTCTCTATCAAATAATATTTCATTCAAAATATTTCAATAGAAAGTACGGTTGTAATAATAAAAAAGGAATGTCCGAATAATTTTTTTACATACTACGTATAATATGAAGCATAATAAAAAGCCGAATACATACGTTCAAATGTATTTCATCTAAATAACATAGATACATAGCCAATTGGTACGATGCGATAAGTATTATTAGAGTGGGTGACTATGTTATCGATCTAAATGTAATCTAATCTAATATTTATCAATAACCAATCCACCGTATGTTACCATATATTTGGGTTCTTGGGGTCCATAGTGTTGTATTTTGAATCCAAACATTAGAAATTCTACAGCTTCGCCAGCCTCTTCCATAAGAACACCTATCAGAAATAGAATAAGTTTTTAAAATTCTCTAAAAAAAATAGAACTAACCTTTAGGAGTTGCCAAGTCATGGTCCAATGCACAACTAAAATGATGAAAAGTCCAATGGCCTAATTCGTGCAAAATTGTAAACAAAATTATAGATGCATATTTAATGATATCTTGTGGAAGATCGCTTAATTTTGAGCAATCAATCAGCTAAAATGAAGTTTTTATTAAATAAAATAAAATGATCTAATCATATATAATTTTTAGTTACTTCTTTATTAAGATAAATAATATTGACATCATTTTCTCTTTGACGACCTTTGTAAGAGCCATATATTGCGCAAGTAATTGGTACATCAAGAAATTCCTCACTTGATAAAATGATTGTTGGAACATTTGCGTTAGTAAAGGTCATCTTCATCTTTTCCATGAGATATGAAGGAACCGAACTCTTAAAGTAAAAAGAAAAAGAAAACTTTGTATACAGTTTTTAAAATCTTACTGGAAATCTACCGTCATGTTCTTTGAACGGTAAAAAATGTGTCGCAAAATTAGTGAGAAGATGTTCATTCGATAAGATCGTAGATGTACTTCGAAGAGCAATATTCAATGGTGGACATGAATCAATTACAGTTGTATCTAATTTAAACGTTAAATTGTAAAGCGGTAAATCACAAAAATTACCAATATCAATTGTATTGGACATTGTTGAAAGAAACTTAACGAGATACGATATCTAGAAAATAATAAAAATCTCGCAGTGAAACCGGAAATTACTGACATGATATAAATGGTTGAGAATTGAGATAAATTCCTGTAAAATCGGTAAAATTTTACATGATCGAAATAATCTATATACAGCAGGGTTTTTAATTGAAGAGTGTACCCAGCAAAACAAAATGTACGGTACCCTAATAAAATAGGATTTACACCCTATTTCACGCCCTGAAAAAAATAGGGTGTATATACTGTACACGATGTCTTTTACAAAACTTTTTGTGCTTTAATGATTAAAAGAAAGAAAAAATTTTCATTAAACGTAATTTTCATGTCTCCTCCAATAACAAAAATAGGTAGAGGCGCTATAGCATCGTCCATGTTCACATAACTGAGTATATTGTTTCGCTTCTGCACAGTCCCATGTGAAGATGGTGATAATGAAATCATTTTTGGAAAGCGATAAAAGAAAAGAAAAACAGCAGTAAAGAATCTATCTTAAAGTAAATTTACTTTAGTTTAAATTTTCAATTTTCAAGTTGAAAATTTCAACTGCTAAAAATCTGCATTTTTGTTCGCACCTTTTTCATCATCATAATGATTTTTGCTGAATTTTAGAATATAATATTTAGATTATTGCAGCTCAAAGTTGATAAAATGGAAGATTTTGAAGAATCGACAATCAGCATTAAAGGTATGGGTGTGAGTGTGGCGCCACGGAAGGCTGAAAATCCCTAGTTGAAAGTTGAAGTTTCAGTTGAACTCAACTTTCAAGTTCGACACTACTGCGTTTCCAATAAAAAGACCCATTTCGTTCGTGTTAATGTATGAGACTGCAAAGTCTAGATTGCCACCCATATTAAAATCGCCCGTTATCATAGAATTTGTAACCGTTTCAGTACTGTATAAAGATTCATTGCTAAAGTGACCATTACCGTACCCAAGTAGTACACCAATGACATAAGGGACTATGTGGGCCGCTGCCAAATCCAAATTTCCATCATGATTGAAATCACCTGATATCACAAATTCAGAATTATCAGCAGTGACAATGAGTTTTGGAGTCATAAAAGTTCCATTCCCGTTTCCAAGGAGTATATTAACACTTCGGCTACCATCGCAGACTATCACTAGATCCTTCTTACCATCATTGTTGAAATCATCAGATATCATATAGTTAAGATTTGAGGAACTTGAGTAATTCACCTCAGGCTGAAAAGTTCCATCACCATTTCCAAGCAGTACACTGACACAATAACTCGAACAACGCCATTTGCTTATTGCCAGATCCAATTTTCCATCATTGTTGAAATCAGCCGTACACACAACAATGATGAAGTAATCAGTCGCGTAACTCACCAGGTTCTGAAAAGACCCGTTTCCGGTTCCAAGTAATACACTCAGACCCCCGTCAGGAGCTACAAGATCAAGATTACTATCATGATTAAAGTCACCCGAAGCCATAAAACCGCGTATGTAGGACAGCTGTGTCATTATTTGAGTCTGAAATGACTTATTTGCGTTTCCGACAAGCATATTGATACCGTAATAAGGAGTCTCTATCGTCACTGCTAAGTCCGATATGCCATCATTGTTGAAATCTCCAGATTTCATGTAGTTAGGGTATCCCCCAGTCATGTAAATTATTTCTTTTTCAAAAAGAGAGGTACAAACATTACCTAAAAAGGACGAGATTGAGAAACATCGAAATATACTAGAATTCTTTTTATGTGCTCAAAAAGTGAGTACACTATAGACTCCGTCGGTGTTCGACCGGCCATTTACACGATAACTCTTGAGAATATGAAACGTTGTGCATAGAATCGTCTTATAGATAACTCCGTCGAGTTCGAAGATGAGAATAATTCGTCAAGAAATTGTTGAGCTATCGAAAAATATGTCATTATTGCCTGTGATTTTTTTCTGCAGCCATTGACTTATCCCAGTTTTATTTAAAATGTTTTTCTCTCATGATCAAAAGCAAAACTTCAACTATTATATACCATTCGATAGAGAATTTCGTGGGGTACACATGATATATAAAACATTAAGAAACAAGAAGGCTAAGTCATCTATTGTAAAGATACTTAATCAGAAATTTCTTCTGTTTGTTCACGCTGTAATTGGTCGAAAATTAAGGCTGTGGGTGTCGGTGTGGGCATGGACGTGGGGAGTAGTGGGTGTTGGGCCGGAGAAGAGATAAATTC